CCACCATCCGTTTTCTTCAGAGATTTTCTCTTAAACAGCTACAGCATAGGTACATGTAGACGTGAAATGGTAATAAACCATGAGTTGTTCCTTACAGGCAACAGTAAGAAGAGGGGGAGATTTTTATGGAAAATAGAGTGATCCAATTGCAGGGAATAACGGATAAGGGAACCGTGGGGGGAGGACCATTTGAATGATCCTTGGCCTTTTTCAACGGCATTTTAAAGATTGAACACTGTTATCAGCAAATGACTCTATTTTGAAATTAGGCGGAGCCAAAAGTAAAATTACCGATGCAAACCTCAGGTCACAATTATTTTACTCTAGGATGCAAACGGAAATGGCTTTTTCAATAGCAGTATTTCTCCTTCCATTTTATCCAGGTGTATTATGTGAATTCGATAAGAAATGTGATGTAGCTAAACGTGCAAGAGAGATAATTTCACATGGTTTGTCAGCAGCATTACAACAAAATCGACGTTAGCACTTACCTTATGTTTCAAGTTGAAAGAAAAATGTCTAAACTCGATTCCATATAATAAAAACAAAAAACCTTGCATTATTTATCAACTAATCACAGTCTAATAAACGCTTTTAAAAGCTGAATTTGAATTTTCAAAACTAATTAAAGAGCAAAATGCTGTTCAGCGGATCCTTGGAAGCACAAAAAGTAACTTGGAAAAGTGTTTTTAATCATATGTTCTTATTTCCAAGAAAAAAGAGAAAGACGCAAACAAAATAATGAAACATAGGGAAAGACATATGTATATGTTTTTGTTTTATATTTTTTCCTTCAATAAAATATAATAAATTAAAAACCAGTGTAATAATTTGACATATATCTAAGGAAGTCATGTGATACAGTTGCAGATAATAATTATAGTGTTCTACTTTGGACTTCATTAGAAGGTAACCTTAATTAAGCTTGCTAATATTTCAAATATACGTACTGGGATGGGAGGGGGGGGGGGTAACCATTCGTGAACATACGAAACATTTACAAGACCAAATTCGGATATTCTGTTGATTTCTTGCTTCATTGAAACATTTCATAAACAAAATATCCGATTACGGGACGCACATGTATTCCCAAGGGATAAAAGCAATACATCATATAAGAACGGTTTACCAACTGAAATGGAAAATGCAGGTCACCAGAAAAGATGATATACTGTGAAAATTGCTGTTGTTCACGACATCTGTTTACCGGCAACAATGCGGGCAGACTTAGTGTGTTTTTCTTTTCCGCCATTACACGAGCACTACATCTTGCACCAGACTCAACGTGACTTGTAACTGACTTGTGCCCTACACAATGTAGACATAGACAGACAGTTACACTGATAGCAGGGTTTTGTTTCGAGAGAGAGAGAGAGGGAGGGGGGGGGGAATANCTGGGATGGGAGGGGGGGGGGGTAACCATTCGTGAACATACGAAACATTTACAAGACCAAATTCGGATATTCTGTTGATTTCTTGCTTCATTGAAACATTTCATAAACAAAATATCCGATTACGGGACGCACATGTATTCCCAAGGGATAAAAGCAATACATCATATAAGAACGGTTTACCAACTGAAATGGAAAATGCAGGTCACCAGAAAAGATGATATACTGTGAAAATTGCTGTTGTTCACGACATCTGTTTACCGGCAACAATGCGGGCAGACTTAGTGTGTTTTTCTTTTCCGCCATTACACGAGCACTACATCTTGCACCAGACTCAACGTGACTTGTAACTGACTTGTGCCCTACACAATGTAGACATAGACAGACAGTTACACTGATAGCAGGGTTTTGTTTCGAGAGAGAGAGAGAGAGGGGGGGGGGGGGTAATAATGATTAAATCTTTCAACGTTCGGCAAATCTTAACGATTCTTCAACCGTAAAACGTGAGGCACTGTGGTGGAAATATTACATTCTTTTATGTCATTTTGCATGTTATATAGATTTATGTCTCCTTGATTTAAGCGGATTTAAGTAATAAGACGGGGCAGTTTAAAGAATAAAATAAACTCAAGCATCTATTGAAGGTCCCATTAATAACATGTAACAGTTTACATGAACTTGAGGTCTCTGACATAGACTTGCAAATACTTTACACTGATAACTTTTGACTTCTGGAACAGCAATAATTAAATTATTAATTAAAAAAAAAGAACTGCGTGTGATGATGTTGCTAACTGGGATTAACACACCAGAATGAGAAAATAAAGTGTATACCTGTTCATGCCCTGTAGTTAATCTCCTTCTTCTAAAGATCATTTTTTCATCTACCAATGTACAGAATTGTACCAATGTACAGAAAACTGTGATTGCGCAGAATGTGCCAGGTTAGACAGAAGTATATATATATATATATGTGTGTGTGTGTGAACATAGTGATAAAGACTGCTGTTTCCTAAACTAAGGACCTGCTCCTTGGATTACCTAGAGCTCACCCATCCACCCCATAATGGCATTTGTTGTTTTTCTTACATTTCATTTATACGCCTTAAGTGTTAAAATGTATAATTCTTTTAGAGGAGCCTAATTGAACGAAATGAATAAAATGTAAAATGTTAACGATAACTCTAACATAAGTCAGTCCCACTGAAAAAAAAATTGTACGCGTAGGTATTGCGGCACTGATACCACAGCAGCTCACAAGATTCTTTCCAATTTGACTTTGCCATTATACCCTTAACCCTATGACGGCACTAAGGAATGCTGCACGTGCATTTCTTTCTTTAACCTGTAAAAGGCATTGTTTTATACAATGCGCGCCCTGCTTTATGTGTAGTCTATACCGCGGGCTTAGTATTGAAAAACATTGACCCTGATGACAAAATATTCCATTTTTAGAGCTCGGAATTAATGTAACTGTTAACAGGAATATGTAATTGAGTGATTAGTGGATACAAATCTCGAGAACAACATTTTTATCATGTCTCCAAGCCATCGAGACTAAACAGTATTGCCCTTGTGTTATGTTTACCAACGAAGCGTCAGCCATTGATTCAACAAAGATTTAGGTCATGTCTTATGGATCGCTTGAGGCTGCATACTGAGGACACGGCTAAGGACAAGCTTTATAACTAAGAGGCGCAACATTCATTTGTGGACATTAGTGTTTAGTATTGTTTTAAGTGTCGTGTATTACTTGAAACCAAACTGTGAAGATAGGGCGCTGACTGGCTGGCTAGGCGGTGAAGGCGGTTAAGACACAGAGGAAAACCGGCTACACGATCGGAAAACACTCAGGTAATAGGCAAGAAGACATATCTACTACTACGTCCCTTGATATCCCCCATCCTCTCCCTCTTTCTCTTTCTCTGTCAGCAACGGAAGAATAGTTAAGGTAAACGTCATATTTTTTTTTACACAGTAATTTTTTCCTTCGATTAGTTTTATTCAAGTTAATTGTTCTTGATGTGGCGACTCTTTACAAAACAACATTTGAGCGAATCGTTTGTGGTGATACTCGCTCTTTGCTGTCGCAAAGGATGCAAAACGGACCTTGTAGGATTGACAAAATATATGGTATATTACTATGACGTTATAGCATTTGAAATATGTATCAGTTATACACAAAAAAGATGATAATAATAATAAATGATAAAAAAAATTGTCGGACTCTGAAACACCTGGCCAACACAACGTACCTTTCTTTATAGTCATTTTTGTCCGACTTTAAGCGGGGAACATTAGTGCTCATACCGTAAGTGTAAACATGTATCCAATATATAAAAAAGAAAGACAAAGATGAAAATATTTAGACTTAAACGTTAAGTTCAGGTGTGATATCCACAATTACTTCCGCTTTGCCACACCTGTGCTTGCTACCGATGCTATTTTCGAATCCTAGATTTCGCATTGCACCCGTCTCGATATCAAAACAACAGTGAACAAACATTGCGGCGTTGGATTTCATTCAAGCACTTTATCAGTCGTTTATTTAAAGTCATAATAACTCTTCGTTTTGGCCCAAAAATTGGATTTTCCTGGAGTAAACTGAAATTTCCCCATACTTACCAATGGTCAACGACCCCATTCCTGCATTCAAAGTAAGTCCTTTTTTTTTCTTTTTTTTTTTTTTTTTTTGTTAAAATCTTTACATTGCACAGTCACGCGATATCGAGCGATATTTTCTGGTGACCTACTTAAAACCGCGGGAAAAGCAGACAACAACAGCACTATAAAACAATAATATAAGATTCATAATATTCAGTATATTCGTCTTATTGCTCAAAGTGCATTTATATCTACATTGTGTGCAGTTTTGGAATTATCTTTTTCCGACGCACTGTACAAAAACTGGCAACTTACGTCAGCTGATTGCATCACGCGTCTGCTTTCTAATGGCGCCATATGTTATTTTGGTCTCGAATAAACGCGAGAATTCGCGTGACACACCAACGTCATTGGCAACGGATGTCTTGACGACAGGGAAGAAAGGCATCGAAAGCCCTATCGAAAAGCACAGATTTTAGTTTTACTACAAAAACAGCCGTTTAATTGGTAAAATGCAATATAAAATATTTTCATGCGTTGTTAACTATGTATTTCATGCGGAATTCTGAATCTCTATGGAAGAGTTTTTACATGTATTGCTAAATGTTGCGAGTTAGCCGTAGCTGCAATTCTATGAAAAAAAAAAACTTGAGCGTATAGTGTATTAGTACATGTAGTAGTACTTCTAAATAGTTGTTGAATTAAAATTTTGGTGTGGACAAAAAGAGAGTGAGTGTCATTTCTCATGGTAAATCTAATTTTATTCTTTTGTTTATTTTATGTTTTTTTTAATATTAATATGTAGAATTATCATTTGTACTTGTGTATTGACTGTACTTTTGTTCAGAAATATCTATCTGGCGAGAGAGAGAGAGAGAGAGAGACAGAGAGAGACAGAGAGAGAGATTAAAGCCACGATCAATTTCTAAGCTAATGGCAGGTAAAAAAGGAAAGAAGATGAAGAAAAAAAAAGCTACATCACACCATCCCATTTTCTTTCAGACCCGCAATGGACGCAAGCCATACCCAGTTGTTTCAGACGGGTCAGCCTCCAGACCGTTTTCGTTACGGTGCCCTCAAATGTTTGGGTGGATTCCAGATTGCTTTGGGACTCCTTATAATAGGGTGTGGCGCGGCCGACCTCCATCTCAACTATTTTGCCATTGGCCAAAACCCCCTCCCTTCCAATACCAACATGTATTATCATCGCAACATGACTTTTAATGAGATAGGTCACATCTTGACTGTGGTCAGTGCTCCGATATGGTGCGGTGCCTGGGTAAGTTTTTATTCTCTAATTTTCAATAATACCAGCTACCCTCCCAATACTTTACATGATAATCCGACGAGACTAATTATATGATTTAGAAATATAAGGTATACATAGCAAGTGAAAAAAGATTATCTTCCAGGATTTTATGAAAGACAAAACGTATTTTCTAAAGAATTTATTTCTTAGTACATTTAACTCGTACTTATAATAGTGCTTGTATTTGGTGACGTACTTGCTCTTGTCGGCTCCTTAGCTGTTGGATACATGTCCTGAAGTTTGATGCCTAGAAAAAATAACTAGTGAATAGTTGATTGATAGCGGTTTTTCTTGCTAAAACAAGTGTTATACAAATCTCTGTCTCTTTTTTAATTTTCAGTTTTTCTTTACCGGTATTTTCGGAGCTTGCATCACAAAAAATCGACAAAGTTACAAACGATGCCTGGTGAGTGATAACAGAAATAAATTGATAAATAGATAAATGAGTATTTTAGTATAAATTAACTTATCGTTTGATTGACCGACTTATTTAGGGCCTAGCTGGCAAATTAGTCGCACGAGCAATAAACCTAGGCAATAATGATTAAGAAAGAGAAAGGTAGAAGGTGAGTGAGAGAGAGAGACAGAGACGAATCTTTCCAAATTGAATGTTACTTATTAAGAAGCAGTGGTAATTTAAACGTTTACCTTTGGAATGTCAATAAATATTTTCTGCAATATTGCTGCAAACTAATTCCTTCTTGTGAATTTGCATTAAATGTGCTGCAATATGGCATCAAACTAGCAGCAATAAAATTGTACTTGCAAATTCTGTAAACTCGTAGCTGCAAATTTTTCACTTTCAGGCCTACCCAACTACCAGACGCGGCACCTACGGATCCAGAATAAACCGGTACGTCAGACCACACTATCCGTTTTCAAGGTGTGTGTCAGATCGCATTACGGAGTATCATACCCTATCACAAATTTTGTAGGCCTACTTGTCATCCGGGTATCGCTTAGGAACATCGCTATCACATCGAGCGCCAGGCAAAATGGGTGAAGTGGCTGATACTTCGTAATGCGATCTGACACACACCTTGAAAACGGGTAATTTATTCTGGATCCGTAGGTGCCGCCTCTGGTAGTTGGGTAGGCCTGATTTTGATAAGGGCATTGCCATTCTGTAACTGCAACACGTGCAGTAGTTACAAGTTAGAGAGTAGATCAGATAATTGTAGTGAGATGTGTCACATGACACACGTACAGGTATAAACTTGAACTCCCGCCCTAACATTTCAATTCAGCGACACTGGTCTCCCCAGACCATATTGGTTTATGTTTTATTCAATTTTAGTCCATGTCAGTTTATGTCAGTTATTGCTTGTTTTCAGTAGTCAATAGTTTTCCTGCAGCGAAATACAACATATCCATCCCAAGAAAGTTTTCGAGTTTCCAACGGTAGGGGCACGGCAACACATTTTATTGCCTGGTCTTTACGTAAGACAGTTATCTGGCAATACGGCCCTCCCCGCCTTCTACTTTAATGACGGGCAATTAATTACCTACCCTCGGATATGGAGAACTTTTAGAGAAACGAGCTCATATGACATTATGACATGACGGAAGATATCTCCGAAAACATACAAATGCAGTTGTATCGCTGAGATATATAACGCTCGGGACAAACAGGTCTCTATACTGAAGCAAATTCATGATAATAAACAATGTATATTATGTACACTACTTTCACTTTCACTTCTCTTTCAGCGGAACTCTTTCCAGACGTTTTCAATCCTCACTGCCATAATCTTCGGTCCTACTGCGATGGGGTTAGTGATTGTTTCACCTTTTTTCATAGTAAGTATGACCCAAAGTGACATCATTTAATTGTGTTTTTTACTCCGACCGCAGGATGCGTGACTGGCCCGTTACAAAAATATTAATTTCGCTTTCTATTTGAGAAGCCCTTATAGTACAGGGCGTAAGAGTACATTTAAAACAGCGCAGACTCACTGTAACAGATCTGCAGATCAAATATGCTGACCAACTCAGACTTGCCGCTTTATTCCCGATTATAGACACTAAATACATTCCCCGCGGGGATTACACAAGTATTCAAGTAGTCGGACATATTTGTCCGCGGATCTCTTAGTCCGATGTTCAGAATGCTCTGTAAGATGTTAGCCACACGTTAAGTAAATAAACTTCTCCTTGGGGACATTGAGTGGAAGGCGGAAAAGCAGGTGATTATAATAGTACGTCGGAAAGAAAAGGAGGAGTGTTAATCTGTTACTTACTGCAATCAGCAAGGGTCCCCATGGAGTTGGATTGACTTACGTAGACCCATAGCTTCATTGGGAATGAGCACTAAACGACAGTACTACATGTACCTTTATTAGCAATTGAATAGCCAGAGTCACTTGAGATCTGTCAAATATCTGCATTATTTCAAAATTGTCGAGAGCTTCAAAATATCGTTCATTTAACCGTATTTCAGCGCTAAAACCCGCTTTACTATACTATACTATACTGTACTGTACTGTACTGTACTGTACTGTACTGTACTGTACTGTACTATATTATACTAAACTATACTATACTATACTATACTATACTATACTATACTTAAAGTCATAATAACTCTTCGTTTTGGCCAAAAATTGGATTTTCCTGGAAAAAACGGCAATTTTCCCGTACTTACCAATGGCCAACGACCCCATTCCTGCATTCAAAGTTAATCCAGGGTTTTTTTCCTAAACGTACGATTTTTTGTTAAAATCTCTTAAAAGATTTTAACTGACGGAGCTCTCTCTGACACTGCAAAGTCTCTGGTGACCTACTTAAAACCGCGGGAAAAGCAGACAACAACAACACTATATAAGATTCATGAGATATATTCGTCTTTTTGTTAAAAAATGCATGTGTGCCATTCTGGGCTTTTCGTTATCCGACGCACTGTACAAAAACTCGCAACTTACGTCTG